GCCGCCAGCTGCCGCTTCCACTTGTTGCGGCGGTTCTGGAACCAGATCTTGACCTGCGTCTCGGTGAGCTGCAGGGAGGCGGCCAGGCCGGCGCGCTCGGCGCTGCTCAGGTAGCGCTTCAGGTCGAAGGTGGACTCGAGCTGGAAGACCTGGCTGCGCGAGAAGACCGTGCGCGTCTTCTTCTTGCGGCCGCCGCGCGCCTCCCCCGCCGCCGCCGCCCGGGCCTCGGCCAGCTCCGCCGCCTCCTCCGCGCCGGCTGCCGGGCCCCTCGCCGCCGGCTCCGCCGCCTCCCGCTGCACCGCTCCCGGCCCGGGGCCCCGCGGCCAGGCGCCCTCTGCGCGGCCCACCTCGTCGCCCGTCTCCGGTGAGTCCCGGTCGCTGGCTGCAGGAGGGAGAGGAGGAACATGGGCTGGTTCTGGAGGCCGATCCCCCCGCCCTGGCGCTGAGGCCAGCTGCTTCCCCCGCGAGGTCACCCACAGCCACGGGCAGGGAAATTGTCCCCACGCAGCCCCACCTACGGCAGATCTCACCCTGGGACCGGAGAAAGGCAGAGCATCTGGAGGTGAACTTGAAGACCTGAGCGATGCTCCAAACCAACACGCTGGCCACACACTCACGCCCAGAACCGCGCATCCACACGGAGGGCAACAGAGGGAAGACGGAAGAAAAGGAACACAAAAACACAAACAGAAACACAAAGAGAAGACTGACTCCCTTAAACAGTGGCTTCGAATCAACACACACAAAAGCCCCGGAGGTACACCTCACGGAGGAAAGGATGGTCCTTCTGAGAAATGTACACACCAGAAACCAGCACAGAGAGGGCCTCATCCCGAGCACTCAGCCCGAGGCCAAGTCCCCCAGACACAGAAATAAAGACTTGCCATGACCTCTCCCCACTCAAGCTCAGGAGCAGATGCAGAATGCCCGCTTGCATAGAAATATTCCCATTGATGGAGGATAAGCAATGCAAACAATTCCCCAAACTCCAACCAGGTGACACTGGGAACCTATTCTCCCCCATTTCCTGTGCCCCTCGTTCAAATGTCCATGGAGATGTGCCCTCTCTACCCAAAATCACACTCAGAGGGAGAGCAGACAAGGGCAGCTCTGGCTCCGTAGAAACACGCGGCAGCCGCATCTCACCCCAGACACACTGGGCCCGTGGTTGAGCCTGTGGGTTTGGGGCTACAAAAGAGCCCACAGAGGGTCCCTGAGCTCGTGTTCCAAGTACCAAGCTGCACACAATCTCCCAGAGGAGACGCCTCCTCCTCCCCAGGGTTGGCAAGGGATGATGCCTCCAGGTGAAAGAGTCTGCCCAGGACCCAGGTGCTGGTCCAGATTCCAGGCCCAGCTTGAGAAGGGCGGCCGCCTGACTTCCGGGCTCAGGAGGCCAACTCAGGCCAGCTTCCTCAGGCTGAGGCCCCTGGACACAGGCCGCAGGTCAGCATTGCGGCCGTCGAGTAGAGCTTGGCCCGGCCAGCCCTCAGAAGGCAGCGGTGAGCCCGCAGCATGAGCAGCCCGCAAGGTGTGCAAACACCGGCAGGCTTGTGTCTGTAGCTTGGTCCCTGCGCTCCGCGGCTCCTCTGGAGGTGTGCAGATTTGCGTGTGTCCCTGCCCAACCCTGGTGGCATGAGCCCTCATGGTGTCCAAAGAGGGGTCAGGCTCCAGGCTGGCATGTGTGTGACCAGATATGGGGGGGGGGCCCAGACTCACAGAGGCCCACGTGCTGCCACACGAAGCCAAGCCAGGCCTGCCAGCTCTGGTACAAAACAGGGACCCCTAACCCGCATTATACGAAAGAAGGACCGGCTCTTTGGCGGCTGGCTGCCTGTGGGGCTGCAGCTGGTGAAGAACCCCAGGGACAAGAGGGGAACGCACTCCCCTCCCCGGGGAGACCTTTTTCAGAAGCACCCCCAGAAGGGCACTAGTCTGATGGCTCAATTTCGGGGCGAACACTGAGGCCTGCTCGAGCTTCCCGGAAGGGAAGGGGGTAGGGGCCCGGGACCTTCTGGGTGTAGGCTCTGAGATGTGGGTCCCTTTGCGAGGGGCTCAATCCCACACCCGAGAAGGGGTTATCCAAGAGGTGAGAGGGGTCTGGCCCACCTACTACCCCCCTCCTCACCCGCCCCCCGGCACTTGCTAACTTTCGCTCGGAGCTCAAAGTATTTCAGAGCCTGGAAGAGTCCTCAGCTGGCCTCACAGTGTGCGTTTGGGAGGGGGCTGGCAAAGCCTGGGGGCTGAGGTTAGAATAGCTTCCTGCTCCTCTTGCCCGGGGTGGAGGGGGGCTTCTTCAGACGCCAGGTCCCCGAGGGAGGCAGCGACCCCAGGGAGGGGAGCAGAACTCAGGGGCTGGGACGCCCAGTCAAGAGGGGCGATCCATGGGGTTCCAGGGCTGAAAAACCCCCCACCCCCGCGACTCAGAGCCCTCAGCAGGGAACAAAGGCGGGGGAGGGGGAGGGGCAGAAAAGGGAGAGAGAGCGGTGGGACTGGGGGCTTCTGGCCTTTCACAGCCACAGCCAAGGGGCTTGGGAGGTCCAAAAGGGAGAGCCAGGCCCCTGCCCCAGGCCCTGGCTGCAGCTTGTAGAGGAGATGGGACTTTGGGGACACGGCTGCTGGGGAAGACCGCTGTCCCCCCGCCGCCCCGTCCAGGCCTCCACAGCAGCGGTTCCCTCTGCTCAACGCCCCCTTTATTTTGCTGAGTCTGACTCTGCCTTCTGACCCTCTCTCTTTCCTTCCTTTATCTTTTCTCTGTTCTCTCCATCACTTATGGGTTTCTTTTTGCTTTTTGTTTGTTTTTCGTCTTCTCTTCCCCCCTCTCTCCTTTCTCCGCCCCCAACATCCCTCTCTTTCTTCTCTGTCCTTTCCTCTTCTTTCCTGCCCCTCCCCCCGTGCCCCCTCCCATGGCCTGCCATTCCCCACCCCCCTTCCTTTTCTCTTCTTGGCTGTCTGTTGTCCCCTGTCCCCAAGTTCCCCTCCAAGGGCACTCCAGAGCCTGGTGATGGGTGAAGCCCAGAGCCTGCGAAACCTCCTCCCTGCATGGGGACCCTGTCCTGGAGAGTGGGCCTCCAAACCTGCTCAACCAGGGGCTCTGCTGGGGCCCGACACGACCCAGAGCCCCCTACGGACGAGGAGGACGGCCCAGAAAGGGCGCCAACGAACCCAAAGTCCCCGAGCAAACGCTCGGGGAGGAAGCCCGCCCCCCCCCCCGCCCGCGGCCCCCCTTCCCCGCGCCCTCACTCACTGTCAGGGCTGAGGCCGCCTCCGTAGCCTCCGTGCGACCGCGAGTACCAGCGCGTGGCGCCTCCGCAGCCCAGAGCGTAGGGCGGCCCGGGACCCGGGGGCGGCCGGGGACCGAGGCCCAGCGCGCCCGGCCCAAGCAGCGCCCGGGCCCGCGCGTCCCCGCTCGGCCCGGAGCCCGCGCGCAGCTGTCTCCGCCGCTGCAGCCGCCGCCGCCGCCGCCGCGCCTGCTCCGCGTCCTCGTCCTCAGGGTCGTCGTCGTCGTCCTCCTCGTCCTCGCGGCCGCCGCCGCCCTGGGCCGCGCGCCCAGCGCCCTTGGCCTCGGCTGCCAGCAGGTTCTCTATGAGGAAGGAGGAGGCGCGGGCCGGCGTGGCGCGCCCGGGCTCCGTCAGCTCGTCCGGCATCGCGGCCGCCGGTCCGTCGGGCTGTGCCGGGCTCCTCGGGGTTCCGGGAGTCCGGGGTGCGGCCGGTCCCGGTCCCCGCTGGGGACGCTGGCGCGCGGCTCCCTGGCGCACGCGCGGGCCGGCCCTGGAGCCGCTGCCCGGAGCGCTGGCGTCGGGCCCCGCGGGGCAGGCAGCGGCCTCCGCGCCGGACTGGGCTGGGCCGGGAGCGGGTGCGCGCCGACAGCTGGCCGGGCAGCAGCCTCGCTCGCCTTTCACGTCGCCGCTCTGGTCGCCGCCCGGGCCGGCCCCGCTGGGGGCGGGGAGGGCAGGGGAGGGGCCAGCAGGGGCGGGGCGGCGCGGGTCGGGCGGGCAGCCAGCTCAGCCCGAGGATGCCGCGCCGGCCCTGAGTGCGGCCACTGCTCGGAGACGCCGCCCGGATCCGGGCGCGCAGGCGGTCGCGCGTCCGAGGGTGGGCGGCCGGCGGCCCAGGCGGGGGGTCGCGGCCAGTTGGGCCCCGCGTGATTCATTCGCCGGGCCCGAGCCACCGGAGCCGGGGGTTGGAGAGGTGGGGCCTCGGTCGCGGGGCCGCCTATTGGCTGCGGGGCTCCGATGAGAAACAGACTGGCCAATCAGTGTCCGGCAAGGGCAGTAATTACCTCGCTGAGGGGAGAGTGTTGGACCGAGAGTGAGGAACTGCGTGTGTGCGCGCGCACGAGTGGTGTGTGTGTGTGTGTGTGTGTGTGTGTGTGTGTGTGTGTGTGTGTGCTTGTATGTATTTGTGTGCGTGTGTATACCGTGGCAGGAAGACCCCGGGGCTTCCAAGAAACAGCAAGAGAATGGGTTAGTCATTTTTTTAGACTCCGGGTGTCAAGGCTGCAAAATTGTGGCATATTTTTAATATTTACACTTAATGAAATATGCTTTTAATGCCAAAGGTAGTGCGACAGAACTCTCTAGGTCTCAGATTCAGGCTCAAAATGTAAGAAAATGCTAGCCCCCACCCCTATCCCCGTGGCCCTGCCGGCAGAACGCCCGATGTCACACCCGCTGAGCGAGACGGGGTCTCCACCGTCCAGCTCCCTAAGAGGCTCGGGCCTTAGGGGCGGGCGGGAGCCATTGCCCCGGCCGGCCGCGTAGCTCTTAGGGGCAGGCCCCGACTGTAAAGCGGTGGGGAGTCCCCTCCCACTTCTGCAGCAGGGAGTGCAGTGACCAAAGTGCATCCCGGCCCACGCCGTCGCCCTCGGAGCTGTGGCCACTCAAGAGTAACCTTCTGACCGGCTTCCTCTGGGAGCGGGTGACGGCCGAGTCACCGGACGGGACGGCAGCGCGGATGCGCGGGCGCAGCAGGCTTCACTGGACGCGGGTTATCGCGGAGAGGTACACCCAGCCTCCTAGTGCCAGCCGGGGGCCGCGACCAACCGAGTGCCGCCCGCCGCCTCGCTTTAATTTTCAGAACAGCCACGGTGGAGGGAGCATCAACCCCATTTTCCAGAGGGAAAAACAGAGCCGAGGAGAGACCATTCCAGATGGTAAGTGGCTCTGGCAGGCCTGGAATTCCGACAGTCAGGGCCTGGGGCCCTTCTGGCACCCACAGCCCCATAGTCGGATGGGGATGGGAGCGAGAAGCAGCCGAGCAGCGGGTCTGGGAGGCCGGGAGGCCGGGAGGCCGGGTGGGGCTGAGGCCTAGTGGAGGGACCTTGCTGGCTGCCCTGTGGCCGCGGAGACAAAACGGTGAGCGCTTCGGGTGCATCTTCTGGCTGCAGAGGGAGCCGGTCACCGCCACCCCGGCCCCACGCCACCCCCTTACCAGCTTACCACCCTGAGCGTACCTACCCGCGGCTGCCGGGAGGGACCTCTGGTGCCCAGTGGCCTGGAGACCTTGGGTGGGAGGTGGGCTTTTCTGCAGACTTGAGGACAAGATGCTCAACCCATCTCCTTGCCCTCACATCCCGCCCCAGGAGCGACAAAGATGTTCAACGACAGGGACTCACCGGGTTGTTTAACTCCAGGCTGGAGGCAGACAGAGTTGGGGCTTTTCCCCCAACGCATGGGTGAGGACACTGGGCCAAAGTGGGTGAGCCGGGGTCTTAGGGAAGAGCTGTGGTCTCCCAAGTACTGCTCCCTGGGGGTGCCCACGGTCAGAGAGACTCCAAGGCAGAGGTACCCCAGCCAGAGGAGGGCGGGTCAAGGGAAGAAATGACTGCCCCAGTCGGTCTGGGGGAGAAGCAACAGCCTCTGGCTCATCACAGCATCTAATTGGAGGGCGGTTCTAAGAGATGGAGAAACTGAGACCAGAGAGGGACCCGGATGAAAAGACAAGCAGTGGAGAGGGTGCCTTGCAGATGAGCACCTACTACATGCAGGTTTCCCGGGGCCTGCCTGTGAGTGGCTCCTGAGCATGTTTCTGGAACCACAAGCCTGCTGTCACTCCCATGGTTTCTGAGCACTTTGAGTGTGGGCTTCCTCAGAGTCTGGGTTCTAATTCTTTCTACTCTGGGCTGTGTGGCCCTGGGCAGGGGGCCTCGCCTCTCTGATCCTCAGTTCCCTCTCCTGTAAACCGCGGGTAGTAAGCACCCCTGCCTGTGCCAGGCTGTTGGGAGTGGAGGCCGGCTGGGCATCGGGCACTGCTGGAACGTCTCCCACTGCCTCTGAGGAGCATGGAGGGACGGGAGGCGAGGGCACAGGCCGGACGGAGCCGAAGGAGAATAAGCCTTCCTCCCAAGCACCGGTCTTTGGGGGCTTGGAGGGCGTGTATCCTCCCAGGGGCTCCAGGGCTGGGTCCTGGCACTGCTGTCCCCAGGAGGCTCCCGGCAACTGTGGCAGCAGAACTCGAGCGCGTGGTGTGCGGCCCCGGCGAGCAGACAGAGGGTTGCTGCGGAGAAGCAAGATCAGGTGGGGAGGTGTGAAATAGCCACCCTGGTACTCACCCAGGCAGCCACCTCTGTGCTCCGTGTGTCCCAGAACGGGATCGCCACTCTGCTTAGAGGTGACAGGAGGCCGAGTTCGGAGGGGGGATTGTCGGCGGAGGCTTGTCACGTTCAGTCCTGGAAGCAACTCCAGGATAGTATCTGGCAGTCAGGATGCTCTCAGGAGACTGACTGTGAAGTCTCACGGCCCTGAGAGGGCTTCTGATGCTCCCAGGGCCAGAGCCCAAGTTTCTGGTCGCCTTCGGGCAGAAGGACGCCCCAGGCAGAAAAGTGGAGCCATGACGTCAGCAGGTTGTCACCTCTGTGTCTGTCTCTGAGGCACCCCACACCTCCCAAGCCACAGCCGCCCTTCCTCACTGCCCGTCCACTCTTGTCTGGCCTAATGTTTCGTCCACTGCCACCTCTCCCCTCTGCGGCGGGACCACCAGAGAAACCCCAGCGAACGGGCTCTTCACAACTGGACAGTGGGAACCTTGTTACCTCCTAGCTCAGTGCTGGTGTCCAAAGATGCCCCATGAACCAGGGGGAGCGAGTTAGTGGGAATAATCCCAAGAGCATAGATCAGGAGTCAGCAAACTGCAGTAGCCACTGCCTGTTGTGTTTTGTGTTAATAAACTTTTTTCTTTGGGAATAATTTTAGAGAATTCCCACTTTAAAATGTAAATTTGATCTTCCCTTCATCCTTCAACCCAATTCCATTTGTCCTAACCTCGCCCCCATGCCACCCCACATACCTGTTCTTGTGTATGAATTTACAGAAGCATTCACACCTTATTGCATTTTTTTCACCTTAATGTAGGAATTTGATACTGATAGATGAAGCAATGATTTTCTAAGCACCGTGCACTAAACCAACAGTCACAGATGCCTTTGTTCCAGTTACTATGGTCGAATCACACATTTCCCCCAAACTCAGGCTGTAAAATAACCATTTATCAGTATGCTCATGGGGTGTATGGATTAGGGTGGCTTGTCTCCACTGCAAGGTGTCTGGCCCTCAGCTGGGGGGGGGCAGGACTTCCCTGAGGCACTTTGGCTCCTGTATCCGGGGGCTGATGGTGATGTCAGCAGAGGGACCCCTTCCTGGGGCTTCTCTGTGTGACCTCGGCTTTCTCACAACATGGGTCCCCCAGTACGAGTGGGTGTGTGGGCGGTGTCGGAGTGGGTCATGAAACGTCGCCTGGGAATTCCGAGCCTTACTCTGCTCCACTTTGTTGAGTACATGGAGCGGTCACAGCCCCCATGGGGTGCAAGGGGAGGAACTTGGACCCCATCGCTCAGTAGGGGGATCATCAGATTGTAGGATGAGAAATCCAGGAAGAGACATGTGCCCCAAGGGTAGCTGATCCCCTGTTAGGGGACTTTCAGGATGCTGCAAGCTCTCCACTACCGCAGTTCATGTCGGGATGAACAGACCTGCCCATCTTTCTTTGCGGGCCGGAGAGTCGTCTGGGGGTGCGTGCCCCCCGAATGGGACAGCTGCATCAGTTTCCCTTTCCTCACATCTTCACGGCCACCTGGTCTTATGGGACCTTCGTCTGCGGCACTGTGACACGCGTGAGAAGGAAATCAGGTGGTTTCGGTAATGATTCTCTGGCTGCTAACAGGGTGACTTAGCTGCACTGTGTGGGCAGATGCAGCGAGATGAAGGGGCAGGGTTAGTGTTCCTGAGTGGCAGCCCATGAGGGGGTAGGCGGGGCTTGAGATCTGGATTCTGTTGGATTGTGAAGCCTTCAAGCTAAAGGATAGGGTTCTTAGCTGGCAAAGCAATGGGGAGCCACCGAAGGTTTTTGAGCTGGGGCAGTGCCAGGACTAGAGCCGGGCCTTGGGAGGAGTAACCTGAGAGCACTAGCACGTGCAGGGTGAAGGGGCACGAGTAGGGTCCAAGGAGGGTCTCACCACCATCCTAGCGGTAAGCAGCAAAGCCCCAGGAGGATAGTGGCCCTGCAAAGGGACCACATCTCAGGTGTCCACCTGGTGGCGCACAGGCCTGGGCAGGGGGTGGGGGGGTAGGCAGGGTGGGAGGGAGTCTCAGAACATTCTTATTGGCTTGTCAGATGGTCCACTCCCCACATCACAGCCACGTGAAGTGTC